ACTAAATAGTTGTATTCTATCCTGTTTGATATTTAGAGAAGGAGTTATTACTCTGTTGTGTTGAAAACAAAACAACTATGTATGTTCCTAACACATCTTCAGGATACATAATTGGTAGAGTCAATGGAATTCCTATCCTCAGATTCTAATTCAGAATAATTTAGGAAATAATTGTTACATCAGAGTAATAGAAGGTTGAGGTCAGTGGGGCACAGATTGAGGTACACAGCAAAGTTGGCAGAACATTAAGAAAAAAAAACAAAAATTCATTTGTGAGAATCTCAAAAGAAAAAAGAATTCAAAATGGAAGATAGCTCAGAAATCATCTAACCAGTCCTACCATTTTACAGATGAGAAAACTGAAGTTCAAGTTGGTCAAATGTCAGGCAAGTCAGCAGAAGAACCAAAATAAAAACTCGATCCCTGACCCTCCCCATTCCCAAACCTATGGAGAAAAGAGCTAGTTCACAGGAGGCTACAAAGTAAGAAAGTTCTCACCCAGGAGACAGGAAAAAGATACTACACTAAGGAAAGAAATCAAATACCTCAGAGATCTGTTATCTCCTAGTTGTCAACCAGCCTACCAAGACAACCCTTACAGAATAACTCTTGACCAATCAATCCAATAAACATGTAATCTTGTCTTTGACCTGACAGAACCTCCCTTTCTTTGCTTCTCTCCAAATTCTCAAAACCTAATATTTTTGCTCAAATTAAAAAAAAAAAAAAAAAATCTAGTCTCAAGATATTTGTAAGAATTTCCTGGCTCCCTCTAAAAACATAATATTTTTAATAAAGCATAAGAATAATAAAAAATGTAAGTATCAAACATTTGGGAAAAAAACAGTATTTTAAAACAAGGGCTTGCAAGCTATAGCTTACAAGTCAAATCTGCCCTGACTGCTTTTTTATCACCAGCTAAAAATAGTTTTCTACATTTTTAAATAGTTGTTTAAAAACATACACACAGGGCACCTGGGCGGTGCAGTTGTTAAGCCGCTGCCTTCGGTTCAGGTCATGATCCCAGGGTCCTGGGATCGAGCCCCGAATTAGGCTCCCTGCTTGGCAGGAGGCCTGCTTCTCCCTCTCCCACTCCCCATCCTTGTGTTCCCACTCTCGCGGTCTCTGTCAAATAAATAAATAAAATCTTTAAAAAAAAAATACAGAGAGAATATGAGACTGATACCACATATCTGGCCCACAAAACCTGAAATATTGACTTCACAGAAAAAGCTTGCCAATCCTTGTACTTAGAGTATTTACTGAGTATTTGCTTTGTAAACAGAAAACGTTTCCTCATAATATAAAATAATTTTTCAGTTCAAATTCATTTGACTTTTTTAAAAAGATTTTATTTATTTATTTGACCGAGAAAGAGAGATCACAAATAGGCAGAGAGGCAGGCAGAGAGAAAGGGGGGAAGGAGGCTCCCTGCTAAGCAGATCCCAGGGGCTCGATCCCAGGACCCCGAGTTCATGACCTGAGCAGAAGGCAGAGGCTTAGCCCACTGAGCCACCCAGGCGCCCCTCATTTAACTTTTAAAACAAAGGACTCTACCTATACATTAAACATAGCTGAAAAATATTTCAATCCTTAAAGCAAATAATAAAAAATATGTAATTTTTAAAAATTTACTGATTTCTTAGATATAGCCTCCATCACCCCATTTCTCTTATTCAACCTCTCACTCAACATACTATTTTGTATAGACTTAACAGGTGTCGGACAGCTGCAGATAACCTCACCCATCCAGGGACTGTTCAACTCCAAATGAAGATGATTCAAAACAAATAAAAAAATATAAATAAATAAATAAATAATTGTAAAAAAGAAGATTCAACATATTCAGGGCTCTGACTCAGGCCCCTGTTATTTCTGATCTTCTAAATCTCTATCCACTTACCTTTCCCATTTTTCACTCATTCCATTAAAATATTTTAAAAGACCATACTAATTAGACCTACTCATTATATGCAGATTTATGTGCTGCTCAAAAATAAAATGTCCTCATTAATGAATACATGATAATTACAACTTAAGGTAGACTTACTCACCTTTCTCCTCAAGACTGTTACCTTCTCTACCAAAGTAGTACAGAATTATCAAAAAACAGATGATTATTGCAGAGCCTGGACGGCTCAGTCAGGAGAGCATCCGACTCTTTTTTTTTAGTATATGTGCTGCCGAAGCGAGCACGAGCATCCGACTCTTGACCTCAGGGTCATGAGTTGGACCATGCCACACACTGCATATGGAGATTACGTAAAAAATAGATGATTATCTTTCACTGTCATTTGCTTACTGTCTACTACCTTCACAATCACTCCCATTTTCTCTTACAAATTAATAACAAGCTGTTCATCCTCTTTAGGAACTCTAATATGTTAATTTTTCTTCTGTATTCGCACTTTTCTTCTTTCTTTTTTAGGTCCTTTGCTAAGACTTCAAACACGCAAAAATTTTAAGACTTTTAAACTTCAAAATTCTCTATCAGATTAGCAATTTGTCAACATTCCTCCTATAGAAAACTAAGTTCATCTATTTCATCATTATTGTTTCCTCCAAGGGGTCGCTGCAGAATAAAATGTACATCTCATTCATTAAAACTCACCAATTCAAAAAAAAACAAAACAACAAAAACAACAACCTCATCAATTCTTTTGGGGTTTTGTTTTTTACTTTAAGAGACACAGCAGTGCGACAAGCAGCAAATCATACAGTCTACAGGAGTTTAAATGGGGGCGGCATCTGGGTGGCTCAGTCAATTAAACCTCTAACTCTTGATCTCAGCTCAGGTCTTGATAAGGTTCATGAGTTCAAAGCCCTGCACTGAGCTCACACTGGGCAAGGAGCCTACTTTAAAAAAAAAAAAAAAAAAAAAGTGTAGGGGCACCTGGGTGACTCAGGCTGTTAAGCGTCTGCCTTCAGCTTCAGGATCCTGGGATGGAGCCCCACATCAGGCTCTCTGCTCAGTCGGGAGTCTGCTTCTCCCTCTGACCCCACTCCCGTGCTTTCTCTCCCTCTCTCTCTCAAATAAATAAAATCTTTAAAAAAAAAAAAAAGTGTTTAGGGGTTCCTGGGTGGCTCAGTTGGTTAAGTGGCTGCCTTTGGCTCAGGTCATGATCCCAGGGGCCGGGAATCAAGTACCCCATCTGGCTCTTTGCTCAGCAGGGAGCCTGCTTCTCCCTCTGCCTGCCACTACCCCTGCTTGTGCTCTCTCATCCTCTCTCTCTAATAAATAAAATCTTAAAAAAAAATAAATAAAAGGTTATATGGAATATAAAGAAAATGTTACAGTAGTAAATTCATATTTAAGATTAAATTTAGTATTAAATAACAACAAATCCCTCTAAATTAGTCTGAAGGAACTTTCAAGTAACAGAAATAATGTATCTGATTTGATTATCTGGATTATATTTTATTTAATTATACAAGTTAATTTTCAGACTGAAAAATTATTTATTAGTCAATTTCAGAAGAGTCCTAAACTCTTAAGATAAACAAAAAGAAAATATAATGTTCTTTTTTATAATGCACATCTTAAAACTTGTTATTCCAGAAGAGTTCTAATCATTTAGTTATAAAAGAGTGTTGAATACTACATCAAGGGACGCCTGGGAGGCTCAGTCAGTTAAGCTTCTGCCTTCAGCTCAAGTCATGATTCCAGGATCCTGGGATCAAGTCCCCACATGTGGCTCCTTGTTCAGCAGGGAGCCTGCTTCTCCCTCTGCCTGCCACTCCCCCTGTTTGTACTCTCTCTGACAAATAAATAAATAAGTAATCTTCAAAATAAATGAATACTATATCAAATCACTCAAAGAACAGTGCTGAACTAGAAAATTCCAAAGATCTCATCAAAGAGAAGCAGGCAGATCAAAACTTTATCTTTTTAATGTTTTTTAAAATTCATTTTGCAATTACAAATTTGCTTTTCAGTCAAGTATTTAAATGGCTCCAAAATACAAAAATGGATATGAAAGTAATGACATATACATGCAACATTATGCAGCCATTGAAAATATTTATGAAGAGCTTTTTTTTTTTTTTTTTAAAGATTTTATTTATTTGACAGAGAGAGATCACAAGCAGGCAGAGAGGCAGGCAGAGAGAGAGGAGGAAGCAGGCTCCCCGCTGAGCAGAGAGCCCGATGCGGGGCTCGATCCCAGGACCCTGAGATCATGACCTGAGCCGAAGGCAGCGGCTTAACCCACTGAGCCACCCAGGCGCCCCTATGAAGAGCTTTTAACACCATGGGAAGATGTCTGATAATCATGGGAAGATATCTGTTATCATAGTAAGTTAAAAGAGTAAAATCCAAAATTCTATACATAATACAATCACAGCTACATTTAAAAACTATAAGAAAAAAGTATTGGAACAAAGTAAAGCAAAGTAGTAAAGGTGAAAAGTTTGAACAGTAGAAAGAGGTTTTTTTTTTCCATTTTATTGTTTCTATATATTATGAGAACATATTTTAAAATGGAAAAAGTATAACATTAATTTTTTTTAAGTTTTATATAAGGATAATTTCATAAGTTCACTTAGGTTAATACGTCCGTTATGTAGGTATGGTACCATCCTGGTAAACAAAAATCCTACCAGGAGCATATGTGCTGCCGAAGCGAGCACAAAAATCCTACCAAGAGAAAAAAAAAATTAAAGAAGTGATAAGGCTATCATATTAATGTCTTTTAAGAAAGATAAAGAAACATGAAATCTGGTAAAAGTTGGAAGAACCAGACAGATTTTTACCTCAATGCTGATTATTTTCATAGGACTGCTGAATTTTAATAGAAACCATTAAAATCTTCTTCCCTGTCAAAATCACAGAGAAGATAATCACTCCACAAAAAGAATAAAAAACAACGTGATACTGAATTTGTATTTTCCAAATCATATGTGTGAGTAAATCACACAGTAAAGGCTGCCAGCATGATACAGATAGCTTATGTTTAACAAGTGTTCCACAGAGGCAAAACAGAAAAAGAGTGTTGTCTCACTTGCGAAATATGATTGATTGAAGATTCCATCCTTCGCAGCTGGGATGCCTGAATATCCAGCATCTGTAGGACATTGTTGGCCAAGGTATTTATCAGATAGGCAACACTTGCTAAGGACTGGGTGGTGTAGGCTTTGGTTTCTTCTAGAGCTCGCTGCTTATCTGCTGACTAAGGGGGAAAAAAAATCATTAATTTTAAGATAATCCATTCTATCAATCTACTCTACAAAAATACTCACCAAAACCATTGTTTCCAAATCTATACACCCTAGTTAAAAAGGTTCTGAATGTTAATTATCATTATCATGTAAACCCAACAAGTACTGAATGAGTTGACTAACATTTTCATGTTGAATATGTACCTCTTTCTATAGATGCAAATAAAATCCTATACCCATTATTTTAAAAATGAGATCCACTGGATATTTTGAGCAATGGCAGCAGTATATAGCTTCTCAAGATTACTGTTTGGAAAGGTAGCACTGATTTGAATATATAAATTCTGGCATCCATTTTCCTACTTTCCTGAATTTGTTCTTTCCTTCCCCTCTAAGGATGAAATCTGTCTATAATGTAATATCTCATTAAGGTAATAATAATTACAAAACAATTATGATAATGAAAAGTAAAAATAACAAAGTAAACAAAAATGGGTACAATGCTGTAAATAATGAGAAATTAAAATAATTAAAGGGGCGCCAGGGTGGCTCAGTCAGTTGGGCATCCTACTCTTGATTTTGGCTTGGATCATGGTCTCAGGGTCATGGGGTCAAGCCCCACATTGGGCACCATACTCAGTGCACAGTCTGCTTGAGATCCTCTCTCTCCCCACCTCAACCTTCTTCTCCAATGCTAATAAATAAAATAAATTTTTTTTAAATAAAATAATCAAAGAAATCTTTCTTCTCAAGCATTTTAAGTGTCACAACTCTGTAAGACATAAATCACTAAGTATGAAAACAGAGTGCACGGTAAAAAGTGGTTAGTTCATCATTTCCAAGGCCCCAAGGCAAAACAATGGTAAAGATACATATTCTATGCTGCTAAATGCAGGACACCATCTTATTGTGCCAGTTCTGGATAAAGACTGTGGTTCAGTAGAAAGCACACAAGCCTCTGAACCAGAAATCTTTTATCATCATGTAGGCTCTACTATTTACTACAACACATCAGTTTGGACAAGAGTAACAGTTTCTCAATTTCCTCAGTTACAAAGCAGAGGAAATAAACCTCCATATCAACCATTCTAAGTAGTGTGAACACCAAATAAGATAATGAATGTAAAACCACTTTCTAAAACTACAAATCCTTCTACGTAACAACTGTCATTATCTCTTTGAGTGGTCATTAACTGTTCAAAGTCCACCATGTTCCACTCTTCTCTCCTATACAATAAAGGAATCAAAATTAACAACCCCATATATGTTTTTCCAGGGAGAGCAAAATCCTTTTGAAGCAGCAGCAGTCAACAAAACAATCAAATCATACCCAGTTTAACGTGCAAAGAGTTAAGGATAACGATATTAGGTTTTTTTCTTTTCTATTCTTTTCTAATCCGTAGTAATTTCACTCTCTTCAATACTTGAATTAACAACAGAGTTGAAACCAAATTTGGCTGAAGATAAATACTTCTCAGAAAACACGATAAAGACTTCTAGATTCTGGTTGTGCGTTTAAGGAGCTTAGAAGTCACCATTCCATCCTAACAAGTGAAAAGCTCAACACAACGAAAAAAATCAACGACTTTTCTTGAATTCATAGTAAAAGCAGCAAGTCATTAATTCTTTTCAGATATTACTCTAAATCAGAGTATTCACTACAGAGAATAATTCAGAACTGAAACAATTTATTTGACAATATACTTCTTCAAAGGATCAAGAGGACAGATATTTGGGTAGATATAATTATTTCCAATGCACCCTTTTTTATATTCATGGTATCTGAGATTTTCTGAAGAGCAAATATTATCACTTCATGCTCCACTTTTGTTCCTAGTCTATGTGTGAAATCACGGAGCTGATTGATCTGCATCAAAGATATGAAAGACCCTTTTTAAATAGGCTTTGTGTGTATCTACTTTTCTTTGGAAGATTGAGGACCCTGAAATGTAAAATGTGTGAAGAAAACCTAAATAGAGATGCTGTTTGTGGCTGACATAACACTGATATAAATCAACATAAAGTATGTATTCAAGGCATCACTGAAGTAACACAAAGGAACACACTGAATTTTATAAACATATTGCTATAAACATATCAATCTTTAGGGAAAAAAGTTGGCAATCCATTAAAATCCTGATGTATCTTCCTAATGGCAATTATGTCACAAAGTCATGAATATATAGAAGTCCTAAATATCAGCTGATGAGATTGAAACAAACAAACAGAAAACTTCAGATATCAAAGTATAGCTAACTCTTTCCTAAAAGGGTATACATTTATTTTATATCCACGTTTACTAAATAATTTGCCTCAGTAGAAAACCAAAGAAAGCACAACTCTCTGGTCATTATATGAGAAGAACAAGAATGCTTCTTGATTGCTTATAATCTGTCTTTTGACCAGGGAGCACATAGTGGATTTTGAAGTGCTTTATTTGGACTATGTGTGGACTTAATATATTTTATTTAATAAAACTATACAGTTTCTTATGTGTTAAAAGAAAAAAATATTCCTGGAACCCTTGAGAGGAGAGGACACAGGTGATATGATCACTATAGAAATCCAAAAGAACTGAGAAAAAACCTCCTGGACCTAATAAGACATTACAGTAAGATGGCAGGATACAAGGTTAACAGACAAAAGTCAATTGCTTTCCAGCAGTGAACAAGTGGAATTTAACATTAAAAACACAATATAATTTATATTAATAATAAAAAATATAAAACATGTAAGTATATATCTAATAAAATATGTGCAAGACTGGGGCACCTTGGGGCGCCTGGGTGGCTCAGTTGGTTAAGCAACTGCCTTCAGCTCGGTTCATGATCCCGGAGTCCCTGGATCGAGTCTCACATCAGGTTTCCAGCCTGATACTCCCAGGGAGTATGCTTCTCCCTCTGACCTCTCCCCCTCATGCACGCGCGCTCTCTTTCTCTCAAATAAATAAATAAATAAAATCTTTAAAAAAAAAAAAAAAGACTGGGGCACCTGGGTAGCTCAGTTAGTTGTTTGCCTTTGGCTTGGGTCATGGTCCCAGGGTCCTAGGACTGAGGCCCACGCTGGGCTCCTTGTTCATCAGAGAGTTTGCTCCTGCCTCTCCCTCTCCACACCCCCATCATGCTCTTGCGTGCTCTCTCTCTCAATAAATAAAATCTTTAGAAAAAAAATTTTTAAATATGTGCAAGATCTTTATGAGGAACACGGCAAAACTCTGATGAACAGAATCACAGAACTCAGTAAATGGAAAAAGAGTCTATGTATGGGTTGGAAGACTCAATATTGTCAAGCTGTCCATTCTTCCCAAACTGAAACATAGAGTCAATGCAATCCCAACCAAAATACCAGCAAATTATTTTATGTTTATCAACAAACTGATTCTAAAATGTATAAAGGGAGGCAAAAGACAGAATAGGCAATACAATATTAGAGAACAACAAAGTTGGAAGACGAACACTACTCAAGTTCAAGATTTACTCTATAGCTATAGTAATCAAGACAGTATGGTACTGGTGAAAGAATGGACAAAAAAGTTCCACGGAACAAAACAGAGAGGCAAGAAATAGACCCACATAAATATAGCCAATTGATCTTTCACAAAGGAACAAAGGCAATGGAATAGAGCAAAGATAGTCTTTTCAACAAATTGTGCTGGATATCTAAACACAAAAAAAAAAAAAGAGAGAGAGAGAGAGAAAGAAAGAAAAAAAAAGAAAGAAAAGACTCTAGATACAGAGTTTATACTCTTCACAAAAACTAACTCAAAATGGATTACAGACATAAAAGTAAACTGGAAAATCATGAAACTCCTAGAACACAACAAAGGAGAAACTCCTAGAACATAACACCCATATCTGGGTGACCTTGGGTATGGCAGTAACTTTTTAGATACAAAATCAAAGCCATGATCCATGAAAGAAATAATTCATAGGCTAGATTTCATTAAAATTAAAAACTTCTACTCTACAAAAGACAATGTCAAGAGAAATATTCAGGAAAAATAAAACAAGCCACAGACTGGAAGAAAATATCTACAGAAGACACATCTGACAAAGTACTGTTACCCAAAAAATATAAACAACTCTTAAAAATCAACAACAGGAGGGAACCTGGGTGGCTCAGTTGGTTAAGCAACTGCCTTCGGCTCAGGTCATGATCCTGGAGTCCCAGGATCAAGTCCCACATCAGGCCCTCTGCTCATCAGGGAGCTGGCTTCTCCCTCTGCCCCTCGCCCCTTTCATGCTCTCTCTCTCTCAAATAAATAAAATCTTTAAAAAAAAAAAACAACAGGAAAAAAATTTCATTAAAATATGAGCCAAAGACATTCACAAACACCTCATCATAGAAGATATACAGACCGCAAGTAAGCACATGAAAAGATGCTGCATGTCATATGCCAACAGGGAATGCAAAATTGGTACAGCCACTTTGGAAGACAGTTGGTGGTTTCCTACAAAACTAAAGATACTCTTACCAGATGATCCAGTAATCCAGCTCCTTGGTATTTACCCAAAGGAGATGGAAACTTCTGGGTACACAAAACCTATACATGAATATTTACAGTAGCTCTATTCATAACAGCCAAAACTTGGAAACAATCCGAGTCTGTCCTTCAGTAGATTAAATGAGTAAAAACTGTGGTATATCATACAATGGAAAACTACTCAAACTAAAAAGAAATGACTTATCAAGCCATGAAAAGACATGGAGGAACCGTACATGCATATTACTAAATGAAAAAAGATGAATCTGGGGATGCCTGGTGGCTCAGTCGGTTAAGCGGCTGCCTTCGGCTCAGGTCATGATTCCAGGGTCCTGGGATTGAGTCCCACATCAATTGCTCTGCAGGGAGCCTGCTTCTCCCTCTGCCTCTACCTGCCACTCTGCCTGCCTATACTCTATCTAACAAATAAATAAATAAAATCTTAAAAAAAAAAAAGATGAATCTGAAAAGGCTACATACTGTATGATTCCAATAATATGACATTCTAAAAAAGGCAAGACTATGAAG